CTCTATCAGAGGCCTTGTAATTTAAGGGTTCTGTGACATTCCTAACTGGGAATAGGAGGGTTTGAAGAGTTTGAGGAGTCTTAGATCTTCCTATCACTACACTCTTCTGGATAGTTACATTGTTCCTGGGATCACTTGAATAATGTTTGCATTAGATAATTGTTGTTGTTAGTTGTGAAGTCATGTCCGACCCAGCGTAACCCCATGGACAATGTTCCTCCAGGCCTACCTGTCCTCTACCATATTCTGGAATCCATTTAAGCTCACACTGACTGCTTTGGTGACTCTATCCAGCCACCTCATTCTCTGCCGTCCCCTTCTTCTATTGCCCTCAACCGTTCCCAGCATTAGGCTCTTCTCCAGTGAGTCCTTCCTTCTCATTAGGTGGCCAAAGTATGTGAGTTTCATCTTCAGGATCTGGCCTTCTAAAGAGCAGTCAGGGTTGATCTCCTCTAGGACTGACTGATTTGATTGCCTTGCAGTCCAAGAGACTCACAGGAATATTCTCCAGCACCAGAGTTCAAAGGTCTCAATTCTTTAGCGCTCAGCCTTTCTTTCTTTCTTTTTTAAATTTTTATTAAACTTTTTTACATTAAAAAACAACACATAAAACAACACATATAAAAACAACATATTTACAGTCTTTGTGGTGATGTGACATCAACATTTCCATTTAAGTTGGCATATACATATTTACATTATTTTTTATTTCTACAGTCTAACCAATTGTACCATTTTTCCTATACCGTATAGCATTCCATGTTTTCTCTATCTTGTAAGTCTAATGTGAGTTTGACCATTTCTGCACAATCCATTATTTTCTTTATTATCATGCTATCTGTGGGGATCCTTTCCAATTTCCAACCTTGTGCATAAGTTATTCTTGCCTCTGTTAGTACATGTATTATAATATATTTAATTTCTTTCTTAAATACCCCTCTGAGTTTTCCTAAAAGAAACATTTCAGGCCTAGGTTCTATTTGTGGACCAGTAATTTCTTGCAACCATTTCCTTATTTTATTCCAATATTTTTTTGCTTTAGGGCAGGACCACCACATGTGAAAGAAGGTACCTTGCTTATTTTTACATTTCCAACAATTCAGGTTTATGTTAACGTGTATTTAGTCAGTCTTGCTGCTGCTAGATGCCAATGGTAAAATATTTTATAAAGGTTTTCTTTATAGGCATCAGCCATTGTTAATTTATAGTTTGTGTTCTACAGTTTTTCCCATTCCTCTAATTGTATGTTATGACCAAACATATTGTTGTTTATTATTGTAACAACATATACTTGATACCTTTTTTTCGGTTGTATTTTTTTAACTTATTTTTAAATATGCCTTATGTTTTTTTCAATACAGGTAGTCCTTTACTGATGACCACCATTGAGGCCAAAACTTCTGTTGCTAAGCGAGACACTTGTTAAGTAAGTCTTGCCCCATTTTATGACCTTCCCTGCCATAGTGTTAAGTGAATCACTGCAGCTGTTAAGTTAGTAACACAGTTGTAAAGTGAATCTGGCTTCCCCACTGATTTTGCTTGTCAGAAGGTAAAAAAATAGAATAGATAGAATAGAATAGAATACCTTTATTGTCATTGCATTCTACAAATACAATGAAATTTGAAAGCTACTCCAGCACAGTGTCCCAAACACCACATCACAATCACACTACAGAGTATTTAAAAATTAAAATAATTAAAATAATAATTAAAAACCTAGTCTAAAACCTATCTAAAACCTATACTAAGTTATATGGTTTAAAAATGCCACTATATACATAGGGCTAAATCACATATGCATTGTTTGATTCAAAACAATTATTGCCTTGGAAAAGAAGGTGATTGCATGACCCCGGGACACTACAATTGTCATAAATATGAGGCACTTGCTAAGCATCTGAATTTTAGTCACAGGACCCTACAGTAGGCATGCTGCAATGGTCGTAAGTGTGAAAATCGGTTATAAGTTCCTTTTTTCAGTGCTGTTGTAACTAAATGAACTGTTGTAAGTTGAGGACTTCTGTGTTATGCCTCCATTTTGTTCTTTTTGAATTCTTTTCTCTTTTTCTGTTACTATTTTAAAAGCAATAAAAGTATTTTTTTTTACCTCCTGGTAAGAAGGTACAACCTCCTCTGGAACAGGGGTCTCCAAAGCTGGCTGAGGAACTCTGAGTATTGAAGTCCACAAGTCTTAAAGTTGCCAAGGTTGGAGACCCCCGCTCTGGGACATTGAGATTTAAATAGAGGAGGGGCTTGTGATAGGTTAGTTACCTGCAGAGCTCCCATTGGCTCACTGCACAGTCACTTGTCTTCAGAAGATGAAGAGCAAATCATCTTGATCCTGGCACAAGGAGGGCGGGCCTAGACTCAGCCAAAGTCTCTTAGAAATGGTGCGGAGAAAGAAGCGACTAAGCAAAGCCACACATAAATAGCTGATTGTCCTCTCTTAATGTGAGAATGCAATTCCCTTTTGTAACCACAGCAGTTTAAATACATTGCTTTACTCCCCATCTTTCAATGGGCTCTTTATGATGTATTTCATACCTTGAAGATAAAGAGTTTTTGGCTGTTGACCTTACTGACATTTCTGGCCTGAGAGCTGTTGGTTTTCAGCTTTATATTTGCAGATTCATACATGGGCTAAAGCAAATAGCACCTATTAAGCTATTGCTAGTTTAGTTAGTAGACTCTAGAGTTTCAAAGAATCATATTTTTGCTTTGAGCATCTCTCTGTGTATAAACTTGTAAAAAATGCTGTGCTTCAGCAGCCTTGTATTTTTGCTTTGCACCATTCCTAGTGGGAGGTTTCACACATATAAATTAAAACAAAACTAGGTGGTAACTGGTTGGCCTAGTTATTGCCTTTGGGAAAGGAAATGTTTGTAAAATACAATACTTTTTGGACTGTGTTCTGTAAAGAAACCATCTTCTTAAAATGGAGTTATGATGATATCCACAGAGACATGGTTCTTTTATGCAGAAAAAAGTCCCCGTAAGATATCTGCATGGAGAAGAATATGGTATGAAACTGAACATTTCTTGATGTATAACTTATGCACAGTCGTTTGACATTTGCTTGGAATAAAAATGATCTTCGCAATATGGGTTTCAAGAAAAAAAGAACACGTTAGAAAAAATAGCAGATGGTAAAAAAAGATGGCTCATTACATTAAACGTATATAATTTAGCTGTTGGAAACTAGAAGCCTTATTTAAGGAAGGTGGTTTATTCCATTTTCTTTGTAGTTAATGCTATTTGATGATGGCACTTACCAAACAGCAGAACATAAAGGGGATGAACAAGTGAAATTACAGATATGTCAACTAAATCAAGATGGTAGGTAAGGGCCCTTGATTGATTGATTGATTGATTGATCAATTGCATCCCTTTTCCATGGATGTTTCTAGAAATAAGTCTCTAGAGTTTAGCTGTCCATAAAGATCAATAAATGATTTGTTAGCTTATTTTAGTAGAAAACCAGTTTCATTTGTACCAACCAACAGTGTTTTGAAAATATTACGTATGGAGTAATATCATGGTATATATAATAAAATATTTTCAATGTTCGATTAGATATATGTACAAGAGAGCCAGATTGGTATAATGGTTAATATATCAGGCTAGTATTATGAGTTCTAGTCTGGATTTAGGCACAAATCCTGCAGGGTGACCTTGTGCTTCTCTCTTTCTTTCTCTCTCTCCTAGCTATTGGAAATGGCAATCCACTATCAAAATCTCACCAAGAAAAATGGTGAGATGGCCCAGGCAGTTGTCAATAGTCAAAATAGACTCAAAGACACAAAAACAACAAATATGTGCTTGCACACACACACGCACACACACACACAGAGAGAGAGACAGAGAGACACACAGAGAGAGAGAGAGAGAGAGAGACAGAGACAGAGAGAGAGACAGAGACAGAGACAGAGAGACAGAGAGACAGAGACAGGCAGGCAGGCAGGTAGGCAGACATATGGCTTAAAAGTCCAGAAGCATATTTTACCCTTATTATGTATGCTTATGACCTATATATTGAATTAAAACTCTTTTTCCATTTAATGAAACATTGGTTGAAAGGAGAAAGAGTCTGTTTTGTAACTTTTTTATAGTTCCAAAGGTCTTTTCTCCCAACAATTCTAATCTCTAAATGTTTTACCATTAGAAATAATACAGTTTTAATTGATCCATTGGTGCAATAAGAAAGAGCTAATTAAGTGAAGTAAAATGAACAATTGCATATCATTTTCCTGGAGATAATAGTTTGCCACTGCTTTCTTCTTGGATTTCTTTTTTAACTTCACAGTGCAAACTTCACCCTTGGAGTTCCTACTAGTCTTCTATCTGAGCCCTATTCAGATCCAAAACTGATTGATTTTGCTTTCTTTTAATCAACTAAGGTTGCTTAGATGCTGCTATCTATTTTAAGCAAGAAACAGTTTTCTCTTAGATTTGTGAATAGACCAGGGGTGGGATTCTACCGGTTCGCACCTATTCGCTAGAACCAGTTGTTAACATTCTAAGCAGTACAGAAAACCAGTTGTTAGAAGAAATTACTGGCCTAATCCTGTAAGGAAGGCAGAAAGGAAACATTCTGGTGTTGCTTACAGAAACTGCCTCTCCATTAACCCTTATTACATTCTTGGCAGGGCTAGACTTCCTGTCTCAGGAATGTCTCTGGAGTTTTTTTTTCCTTCCTTTGCTGGTACTTTGGTAGTGTGGAGTGACCATTCAAAGTTACAATAGCACTGAAAAAAGTGACTTATGACCATTTTTCACACTTACAACTATTGCAGCATCCCCACAGTCATGAGAGGCCAGGAGAGGAGATGTGTGCCCAGTGGTGGGTTTCTACTGATTCTGTCCACCTCTGTAGAACTGGCTGCTCCGAAGAGCAGCAGACATAGAACTGGTTCTATGTCTGCTGCTGTTATGGCCCACCCAGGCTTTTACCTGACCTTTATTTCCTGCTTTTTCAACTGCAGCTGCTTTGCGTGACACAGCTGCAGTTGAAAAAGCAGGAAAAAAAGGCTTTTTCAACTTCTGTGCACTTGCACACAGCGCTGCTCAGCTGTCCGGGCAGCTCAGCAGGTTGTAAATTGCACTCATGTGACTCGCGCATGCGCACACGACACTAATAGACAGAACCGGTAGTTATACCAGTCAGATCCCATCCCTGTGTGTGCCTCGATGTGAGTGATATTGAGTTGGCCACACTCAGCCAATAACATGACCACCAAGCCACATCCACTCAGTCACATGACCACCAAGCCACGCTCACCAGCTAAGAACCGGTTGTTAAAAAATTTGAATCCCACCCCTGGAATAGACCAATGGTTGGGCAAGAAAGACTTATTTAGTGCTGAACAAGAATGATAAAGAAACACCAAAACAATCATCCAAATAAACAAGGAAACAAATATCCTACAAAAAAGTAGATCAGACTATCTATTTCCATGGTAGTTTTTATGAGATCCCTCCTCATCAAGAGAAACTAAGACTTCTTCAAGAGCTACAGTACTCTGGAGCATTTAAGTTTATCTTGAGTGAGTAAATGATGAAGTTCTGTTATGTAGCATTTTAAAATATTTTAGAAACAATAGAAAAATTTGTCTGGACAATGGGATACCTCTCCAAATGCTTTTATAATACCCTACCTGTGCAATTAACTTTTATTTATTCTAAAAACTTCCCATATTTGTTTTGTTTCAATTTCCATATAACTGGAAACTGCTCAACAAAATGAAGCTTGTGGGGGAAATAGAAAAAGAACTACAGGAAATACATGTCTGACTTGCATCAGTATGTAAAGAAGACTTGCATCAGTATGTGAAAGAAATAACAAGTTTGGGGGAAGTTATTTTAGCAGTGACAACATAACATTAAAAAGGATCATCATCTAATTTTCTGTTTGAGGGCTCATATTATCCACATCCAGTTATCCTTAGCCTGATGCTCTCCTAAATATACAGTATTTCAAATCCAAATATTGCTGGCCAGCTTGGGGGAATGGGCTTTAACCATGCTAGAAAAGAACATTAAGACTTATAGTCTTTCTACATTTTGAGAATATTAATGGGTCCCCAGCAGATATCATCAAGCAAAATTAATTTCAACAAATCTTGTATATTAAAAATAGAAAAGAAATATGTTTTGAAATTTCATATAAATTTACCCATAGGTTATATAACCTACAAAATTATTACATGCAAGATCAAATTCATAATAGCTGTAATCCTGGCTGGAGGGATAAAAAAAAATGTATCCTATGTTAGAAGGTGGTAGAGCAAAATCTGTCATGGCAGTAATATTACATCATATTACTAAAATATGATATTATTAAAATCATATACTTCTTCTGAAGTATCCTTCTAAACCTGTGCTACTAACTTAACTCTTACTTGTTCCCAGTGACAGACATTGGTTAATTTGGGGTCTGGTAAATCTGGCAAAGTAATCTTACTGACAAATAAATTGTCTATGAGTAGATGAGTCTAACTGGGTTGCTTTAGTTTTAGGAGGTAAACACAAAGTGGACCTTCAAGAATTAGAGAGTCAATCTGGTGCATTGTCAAAGCATTACTCTAGAAACTAACAGATGCGAGTTCTAGTCCCATCTCATGCCAACTGAGCAGTCATTCTCTCTCATTTCTAAAACATTGCCAAGAAAATTGAAAGGATTTATTAGGCTATCACTAGGAGTCAACACTGACTTGAAACCTCTATACATGTATAATATATAGTTCAAGAATTAACCACAGCAATTTGTATATTTTATCTCTTTCAAATCCCAATTAAATATTTGATTCCAATACAGGTATAAGTGACTACATTGGATGACTGCCAAAATGTTACAATTTAGTTTAATTGTTGGCTAATTTTTAATTTTTAGTATAATGATCAGGCCATGTCCCCAAAGATTAGATTCAGGTAGAGAGGAAAAGTTATATAAGTTTCTATAAGAAATAGTTAAATTAAAAAAAAAGTTATCTAAAACATCAATCTTTGCGGCTTGGTGACCCAGCTTGTGGGGGGAGGGGAATCAGCCTGTGTGAGTGGTGGGCTGGCACATGCACACGCATATGTTGCTCAACTCACATGAGTGATACATTGGCATGTGCATGCAGCTTGACTAACACAAATGGAGGGCTGCTCAGTTGCAAGTCAAATGTCAGCTTTGGAAGCCATATTAGCCCCAGAAGCTTCCATGCTGCCCCATTCTTGAGCGTGGGAAGTTGGGAGAGGGGATTTCATGAAGTGTATGTGGTTAGAAATAATAGCATTCTTCTTTAAAGTGAAGGTCATGTTATTCCTGCACCTGGCTGAGGAGTAGTAGAGGGGATGTCTCAAGCTGGAATGGATGGTGATTGGGCACATGATGGAATGATGGGTGCGGGGGGTTGATTTGTACTTTTTTACTTATTGGAGGAAAACCTGGAACTGTAATAACCCGGGGCATGGCACAAAGGCAACACAGTCACATAAGAACAGTCCCTTTAATACCTTCAACTTTGCCCACAATGTCCAGTTATCTTTGGCTGGAGAAAAAACTCTACCAAAAACAGTCTTTAAGTAGAGGAAATTTAGTCCAAAAACAAAATACATATAAACTGTAAATAAAAATCCATGCCAACCACACTGCAGCAATTAACTGGACAGGGCAGGATAAGTAATTGCAGACTTCAAAGGCCAACAAAACACACACAGTTGGGAAGACGCCAGGAACCCAAATAAGCCTCGACCATAAAAGATAACTCACTATTTGCTTCCCACAAGTTGCTGTGTGCAACTTCCCTTTTTAAACACTGTGTTCCTAGCTACAGCTATTAAAGGGAATCAGGGCTCTTTCCTCCCCCATAAGCCATGCAACTCATGTTGCTCCCTTCTCCCTTCCTCCCTGGATCTTCCTCTGAATTACCTCTACCTCTAGCCTTGCTCTACCTCTTCCCTGCTCTGCCCAGCCGGATTTTGCCCTTCCCCAGTTTCTTCCACAGCCACCGGAGGCACACTCCCACTCCCTGTCAGCTGCTCGGCCTCCCCTTCAGAATCAGATTCTGACAGGGACATGACAGGAACTTTCAAAATCTGGTTTTCCCTTTTTCGAGCCCCCACTCGAACAAGTTGAGCTGTGCATGTTGTGTGTGCATCAGCCCATGACCCAGTTGTGCATAGGCCATGAATTGGAGGGTGGGGAATCCTGATCTAAAAATTCTTTATTTATATTTCAGGATTTTTGACTTTTGGCTTTTCAATAATTTGTTAAATTATATTGCTAGGATATAAGGCTGTACAAATTGAATACATACATACATACATACATACATACATACATAAAATTTTAAGTACCCTAGTATTGCTGTTGCTCTTGTATATTGCATCATTTATATAACATTTTAATGTATGTTCTGTATGAATTAGTTGTAACTTCCCATTAAAACTTTTTGAATTTTATTGGAAATGGTTTCAAAAATAATAATAATGGAAAGCAGGGTTAATATGTGTTAAATGAGTACCAACCTCAGTTTGACTATAACTGATAGCAAGTTTTGAGGATGTTGTTTGACTAAGAATGATAACATTCTATACAGTTCACCCTTGGTGTGAAAAATAAGAATCATGTCATCAATATTAAGGAGAAAGAGCTCTTTCACGCATAATTTTGCTGGGAAAAAAGTACTGTAGTTACCATTCATATACAAAGCAATGTCATTTGGAATTATATTAACAAGAAAAGGAACAAAATCATGGCTTTTTTTGAAAAGTGAAATGTTAGGATAGAATGCATCTTTAACTTAACATGAAAACATTTACAATAAACTTTTCAGAATTTGGCAATACCATTTAAAGCTTTATAAAAGCCCTATGCCCTATAATTAAGATAGGAAGTCATATCTTCTTCTTCCTAGTGTATTCCCACAAATGCAGACTCCACTTTTCGGATCATTGAGCACCACTTTGCATGGTCAGATGCATCTCCAGGAAGCAGACCTGTGGCTTGCATATCTTTGTTGATGGTGCTTTCCATTTCTGTTTTGGATGCCTGCAAGGTCACCAGCCATTGACTTCTAGTTGTTAGGCAGTCTTGGCAATGGTGGGAGGTGCTGCTCTCTGGGCATGTCCATACCAGTGGGACTAGCTTTCTCTCATCTTCTCTATAATTGGTACCACACCAAAATTATGTTGAATGGTGTCATTTATGATGTGGTCAAGAAGGGAGATGCCCAATATCCAACACAGCATTCAAATTTCCATGGCATGGAGATAGTTTTCGGTCTCTGTTGTTTCTGCCCAACATTCAGTGGTAAACAGGTGGGATGGTTATCTTGTAAATCTTAGATTTAAGACAGGTTGGCATTCGTCTGTCACATAGCACACCAGTGAGTTCTCGCCAATGCATCCAGGCTGCATTCACCCTTGCTCACACCTCACCATTGATGTTGCCATTGCCTTGGAGATGATACTGATACTGAAAAATGTCCACCTTCTTTAGGTTTTCTCCATTGATTTGAAGTGTTCCAGGGGTGGTGACAAACTCTAAGTATTCCCTTTTCTAAGATAGGTAATCATATACATTTGCTAAATAAATAAGTACATATAATGCTTTATTTTTAAAAGATTGTTCATTCCTTTTTTGTGCTACAAGGAAAAGGCACTGCTGCACAAAATATATTCCAATGAAATACTGGATTCAGAAGGTGCATCCAGCAGCTGATTGTTTCTGATCATCCAGACACTGAGAAATCTGGTCTTGGAACAGTGGCCTTGAAAGCCCTCTGTCTCCACCAGTCTCAGAAGGAGAAATTCAAATTACCCTATGATCCCTTTACTGGATCAGATTGTACTCTTAAACAACATTAAGTATTTTGTGAAATATTCCTGGTTTTGCTTCTGTGGAAATAATTTCAAGGTTAGAAATATGATCCACCAATGTTCCATTACTGTTGTGTTTCAGAAGCATCATGAAGAATCAGAATTCTCAGTGGAGGTAATAACTGTCTTTATTGTGGCTTTGTACATTTTATTATTGCAATAAAATATAATCCAAGTGTCCTAGCGCCTGAAGTTCAGTGAACTATTATATTTTTCCCTTTGTCTTTAGATTTCTAAAGTTTTCCTTCTTTGCTCACTCAGCTAACATTCTTCATCTATTCCTCTTCTGTGAATTGGGCTTATCTCTTTATGTTTGTTTCTTGGAATCAAAAGTTCTGTCCATCTGCTTTTTCTGTTGTCTTCATTCTCTTTTTTCCTTTCTGAGCTATTGCCTTGAGTTTTATCCACCAAAATTTTCTTTCTCATTTCTTTCTTGTCAGTTATTATGTGCTCCCTTTTTTGATAGCCTCTTCTACATGTCCATAGAACCTTTGATGAAAAGACAAATGTGCAAGAAGCATAACAAAAACAAGCTGTCTCAAAATGGAGGATGTTAAGTGTCTTTGAAGTACAGAAAAAAGCAACAAAGATAATAGGAGATTGGAAGATAAAACATAGGATGAAGGGTAGCAGGAATTGGGTATGTCTAGTTTAATGGGGGGAAGCATTGGGGATAATATGTGAGAAATATTCCAATATTTAAGTCCAGCACAAAGAAGAGAGGGTCAACCTGTTTTCCAAAGCACCTGAAAGCAGGACAAGAAGCAATGGGTGGAAACTAATCAAGGAGAGAAATAACATAGAACTAAGGATTTCTTGACAGCTAGAACAATTAATCAATGGAGCAAATTCCCTCCAAAAGTTCTAGGTGCTCCAATATGGTGGTTTTTAAAGAAGATATGGGAGAACCATTTGACTGAAATGGTATAAGATTTCCTGCTTGGGCAGGAGATTAGACTAGAAGACCTCCAAAGTCACTTCCAACTCTGAAATTCTTTAATTCTATTAAAATAGGTGATACTACCATGGCAACTGGCCTTTATTGGTTATGAGAACCAAGAGATTTCAAGATTGTTCTTAGGATTATATCTCTCCCTCTCTCTTTTCATCTCTCCCCTTTTCAATGAAAAAAAAAATGAGAGGAGAAGTGGATGATTGTGATATCTTAAAAACATTTTACCAGTGGTGGGATTCAAATATTTTTACCACCGGTTTGGTGGGCATGGCTTGGTGGATGTGTTTTGTGTGCATGCACACACTTTGCTTGCATGTGTGTGCCAAACTCACACTTTGTGCAGACACAGAGGCATTTGTGCAGGTGCAGAGACATTCTAACTCACCTCCTGCAAGCCTGCACGATCCCGGTCACTTCACCAGCTGCCAGGCAGCACTCTTCTGTGCCACGCAATGCAGCTGTGCTTCAAATTCAGAGGATAAAGGTGAGTATGGTAGCCCGGGTTGGCAGGTGGGCCCAACAGCAGATTGGCAGAGAGAACCAGTTTGGTCTCTGCTGTTCATCGCTGCTACCGGCTCTGCAGAACCAGGATGAACCAATAGAATAGCACCACTGCATTTTATCCCATGTTGGCTTTGCTGGTCTTTAGCAATAATAGAAGGGTGCTTTCTACTTTGATAAAGTAACTGTTCAGTGACATCTGCATCAAAAAAAAGTCAAGATGTAAACTCTATATGAGAGACCAAAGCTCCATCCCTTTTTCTATTATCATACCTGTAATTGACTTCACTTGAATTACTATTTTCTTCATGAACTCCCCTGCAATTTGACCAAAAAACAAAGGTAAATGTTCCCAAACAAAGAGTTTAGGAAAAAAAATAGTTAATTTTGTCACTTTTGGATAGTCTAATGGTGATTAAATTAAAACAAATGACCAACTCTTTCATTACATAAGAAATTAAACAAAAATGGTTGATATTTTTCAAAATAACTCACAGTGAGATATTTCTTAGACTGTGAAAGTATTTCATGGTGGAAGATTTGAAGGATTAACATTGGAATTCCTACATAGTATAGAAGCAATAACTGGTGGAATAAGAGAAGAGTCAGTGCAGAAGATACCTGGTTCTTAGCACCAATTATTAGGTTATTTGCAATATGTAAATAACAGTTAATTTTACCCCTCTGCAAATCACACTTGGAGAGCCAGTTTGGTGTACTGGTTAAGGTAGTGGGCTAAAAACCAGAAGACCATGCATTCATGTCCTTGTTTAGGCACATAAACAGCTGGGCTTACGTGACCTTGGGCCAGTCACTTTCTCCCAGCCCTAGGAAGGAAGCAATGGAAAATTACTTCTGAAAAACCTTGCCAAGAAAACTGCAGGGACTTTTCCAGGCAGATTGCCAGAACTGGACAAAATTTAATGGAAGGAAAAAAACAAAACAAAATCAAGCTTATCTCAATATAGGATTTATATTGACTAAATCATATTTGCAAACCTCCATAGATATTAAGAGTGCTATATAAAAATAACAGTGGTAAGTATGCTTCCAATGGTATATGCATATCTATCTATTCTTTCTGCACAAAACCTCACTGAGCATCTTGTGAAGTAAATTACGACTTGTTTGTCACAAATGGCAATCCATCAGGGACATGGTAAACTAGTTGTTTTATGCCTTAGATCCAGCAATACAAGGCTTTTATTAACTAGTGTGTCATCCTACTAATTCAGTGAGCAGCACTGAAAGATGCACCAACAGCATCATATGGAAGTTTGCTACCTATTTTTCCTATTGCATCCTTCCTGTGATATGTCTTCCCTTTTCAAGTATTACATTCCCTTGTTTCACTAGTACCTACTTTCTGAATTATCTACTCTAAAGTTCATCTGTAACATCAGGGCTGATATCACATCCCTTACCACCACCACAAACCTCCAAGCTTCCCTTGAGCTACTTTTGACAATGTATTTTGATGTCAGTCCAGCAAGAAGGCAGTCAAAGACTGAAACTTTCACTTGCTTTAGCTTCAGACTATTTTTGTCTTCCCCCATGGTCTCCTGTGACCCTTTTCTTTCCAAAAGGTAAATATGCTTTTTGGGGAAACAGAAACAGAGACGTACAAGATTCTCACTGAGCGTTAACATGCATTTTGTCAGATCCTTTGACAATTTAAATTGTATCTTTGAAATAGTTTTATTAGCAGCAGCAACTGGTCTCTTACAGTCAGTAATTGTCTCAACAGCCTCCAGTGACACCATAGACATTATTCTTGTGCACGTATTCTCTCCATCCCACCCTTTCCTGTCAATAAATCATTTATGAATAATAGCATCTGTGGATGTCTCTCTCCCCATCTCTGCTGCTAGCCATTCTTCATTGATCAGATCTCTCCTTCTTAAAGTCCTGTTGCAGACCATGATTTAAAATTACTGTCCTGATCTCTCTCTCTCTCTCTCACACACACACACACACACACACACACACAACACACACACACACACTTTTTTGTTATCAGTTGATCCTATCAGAAAATATATGACTCTTCTTTCTGCACTTTGATTATCTGCTTTCAAGCTTCAGGCCAACCAATTGATAAGAAAGCTGAGCTGGTATCATGTCTCCTGTTCTTTGCAATACGCTCCTGATATTCTCTCATTTGTTCAGCTTCACTGACTTTGGCTGCCTGTCCTCTTATGGAGCTCTCAAATCAAGCTCAACAAAGTCATGAGTATAACTGGGTTCCCTTAAAACCAAAAAAGACATGTTAAGAAAGCAAAGGAAAAATATTTACGTCATTAACATCACAGTATGATGATGAATAATCATGCCTATATCATCCTAGCAAAACTGAAGGCCTGCTACAGAGAGGAAGGGGTCAAGCTATTTTCTAAAGAACCTGAAGGCCAGACAAGGAATAATGGATGGAAACTGAACAAGGAGAGATTTAACCTGGAAATAAGGAGAAACTTTCTGACAGTGAGAACAATCAACCAATGGAACAGCTTGCCCTTGGAAGTTGTGGGAGCTTCATCGCTGAAGGCTTTCCAGAAGAGATTGAACTGCCATTTGTCAGAAATTGTATAGGGTCTCCTGCTTCGGCAGGGGGTTGGACTAGATGACCTACAAGATCCCTTCCAACTCTGTTGATCTGTAAACTGGCTATCTTGTCATTTCTGTACCACCTTTTGCACTTCAAAGGTTTTCACAGTTGAGATCCATCTGATATAAATACAGATTCTCTTTATCTGTTGAGATTCCCTCCTTTGTGTTCTTTGACCTCTGTGAAAGGAAAGATAGCTATCACCAACAGAACACCCCAAGAAGACCCTTGAAACATGGAAGTCTTCTCCAGATAAATCTAGTTCTCTCAATACCTATCAGAATTTCTAAGGGATTTTACATTTCTTTTAAATGGCTTGGTTTTTGTATTTTGTGTCGTCTTCTATTCTATTATTAATTTAAGGGTGATATATTGTGACACCTTGCATAAATCAACATATCCATATCAAAGCAAAACTATGAATGCATTAGATGTGCTTGTTTCTTCTAAGAATCCTTTGCTTTTGTTAGAACTGAAGTCTTAGAGAAATCAGGTTCCCCCCGCCCCCCAGTAGTGTTGACAGCCCTTTTAAATTTAACATTCTTTGAAACAAGCCATTCCACAGGAAGAACAGAGTCTCTTGTGTCTTACCTGAAAGTTCTGAATACTACTTATTTCATTCATGCATGTTCAAAATTGTCCATGTAATCAAGTCACCTTTGTGGAAATCAGTTAATTATGAACGAACAGAATTTTGGAATAAATTCATCTCACCAGAATTTAAAAAGCCATAGAAAATATCAGTTGCACATATTCCATGATCTACCAGCCAATGTAGTTCTATGAACAAATAATTATTGGAAAGAGTGCAGTGGCTGAGCAGTTAAGATGCTGGGTTTCTTGACTAGAAGCTTGGCAGTTGGAGACCTAAGTACCATGTGACAGAATGAACTTCTGTTACTTTCTCCAGCTCGTGCCAACATAGCAGTTCAAAAGTCTGCAAATGCAAGCAGATAAATTGGGAAAGTAACAGAATTCCATGTGCCTGGCATACAGTCATGCCAGCCACATGATCACAGAAGTGTCAATGAACAAAGCTGGCTCTTTAGCTATGAATGAGAGAGGAGCATACCATCTAGAGTCAGACATGGCTGGCAGGGGAAACCTTTACCTTTACTTTAGTAATTGGGAAAATAAAAAGGAAATTGTAAAGTACATAACAGAAAATTAAGTGAAAACATGAAATAATGTAATTTAGGATCTGGCTAGGTAGGTAGTGTTAACTGAACCCTGAGGGAAGAAATTAGCAATAGCAATAGCAAAAGCACTTAAACTTATATAATGCTTCATAGTGCTTCATAGCACTCTCTAAGCAGTTTACAGAGTCAGCACATTGCCCACACAATCTGGGTCCTCATTTTACCAAGCTTGAAAGAACGGAAGGCTGAGTCAATCTTGAGCTGATGAGGATCAAACTGCTGGCAGTTGGCAGAATTACCCTGCAGTACTGCATTCTAACCACTGTGCCACCACAGTTGGACCATTCAATATGAAACAACTCTAGGATCAGGATACCTCTGAAGATACTCTCATTATCACCTGAGAGAAACAGGTAGCTACTAGCTTACTAATGAAGACTTCATGGAAATTCCTGAAAATCTGAGACTTAAAAAAACTCCAAACATCTCACATCAGAAAGATGAGTTTTTAAAACTTTTAAGCTAAATGGAAAAAATATACAGAATTAGTCCACAGTGAAATGACAGTACTCGTTGTCAGCTGTTTATTGATTGTAACTTAAATACCTGCTATTACCTTTAATATCAGATGATCTGGAAAACTGTCTCTTTCTTTATATATCTGTTCTGTAGTAGATACCTTGTTGAAGATGTGTCCATTCTCATTTATCTATGGGTCCTTGGTGTCCTCTGAGCTTGGTTGTTTGCTTGTAGATATTTTATTCCTGACTAGATAACATCTTCAGTGCTAGAAAGTAGTGGGATTTGCTCTTTGTTTATATATAGTAGCTTGCTTTGTCAGTTTTCTTATTGAAGGTATTTTTTTTCTTTCATAGGTCATTGATTAGACTGTTTGTTGCTTGATTGCTACTCATTTATTGGGTTAGACTGCTCACTTATCCAGTACTCAAGATAGAACTTTCTCTTGGCTCATTCATAGGCTGCAGAATGTACTTTCTTTGCTTGATTCTTTGGTCAGAGTTATAATTATTAACCTTTGCTAGGTTTATTTTCAAATTATATTTTAACTTAATGGATTTCCCCACCCCCCACCCCCCATGTTGCTGGTTCTTGATTTGTCCATTCTCATTTATCTATGGGGTCCTTGGTGTTCTCTGAGCTTGGTTGTTTGCTTGAACATATTTTATTCCTGACTCGATAACTTCTTTAAATGAATCAAATAAGGATCCAAATAGATAAATAAATCCTTCAAAATTACCATTGTTCCATCTTATCATATAGGCTTGACTGCATAGTAAAATCTCCTCAGATGTTCTAGGCTGAAAGGCCAAAACAAGTCCTATGCTTAGGGATAAAAAAGATATGAGGGACTCAGAATTAGGGTTTATGTGTTTTAATGGAAATACTTCATCACTGATGGAAAATTCCACCTCTATATGGTATGTAAAGGCAGAACTATGTAAAGCATATGTAAATGACCCTCCAAAACTGTTGTGCAGTGCAGCGTAATAGCCATGTCTTAAAGTTTCAGTAAAACCACTTCCTGAAGGCCATTGCCTGATCTTTTGAGCATGCATGCACATGTAAAGAAGGCTCTTTGGCCAGGATTGCCTCTGGGATACTTCTAGTAGGGTTGCTACTTCAGGAGTGATAAATATTTGTTACATTATTAGAAAAAAAAAAAAGAAGCTAATAATGAGCTAAAGAGCTCTTCAAAGTACACTTGAATCTATATAGTGCAATATGCAAATGTATAATAAAATCATATTTTCTCTGCCTCTCTTGACCAAATAGAAACTCACAAGATATCATGTAATCTAATTATTGTCCCAGCACTGCGAAATGTGGGTTTAATGAAATAATTTAAGACAGGTGCTTTTTGCTTTGGAAATCCTTAGGAGTCTCTTTACTGATATTGGTTGGATGGATGGATTTTATGTCATTAAAGACAATAAAACTTGCAGCCCATGAAAAGATCGAAGGGGATTTATTTTTGGTGGAGGGGAGGACTTGACTATGCATTTTTTTTCTTTATTACTTCTCCTTTTCTTCCTGTGATGCCTCTGAATGATTAATTCCATGAGATTTGTGCCAAGCACATAAAACAGAAAAATAAAAACAAGTAAAAAAAGTTAGGCTGGGAAAAAGCCACTACCAAAACAAATGCAACAAACTCAGGACCATTTTTTATCTGAAAATCTAAGAATTATCTCATTCTATAGGTGGAGAGAGAGAAAGAGAGAACAATACCTGCTGTCTAGGCTAGGCACAAATATTGCTTTCAAAGAGAGCTGCAGCATATGAAAAGTTGACAAGTCTCAGCTCTTTCCCACCCACCAATATGGACATTGTCCAAGCAATTCATGTTGTTGTATTTCTTCATTAGCTTTGAAGTTGTAGGAGAAGGAGTGGCAGAATCTGGGGACAGAGTTAAAAAAGGGATCAGTCTAGAATTCCTATGTAGCCACAAACAAACTAAGTCTAACACACACACACACACACACACACGCACACTTGAATTCCACTAACTCTTATCAACCCCCCCAGCAAGTGCTAATCATTAGTTGAGAAAATTCCTGTGCAGGTTTTTAACAATAAACCAGTTTAATTGGAGCTTCACATATGAACTTGTTTGTTCACATCTGACAGGCAGTCTGACAATATTAAATAAAGAGTACTATACCACTTTGTAACTTTTAATTCTTTAATTAGATTAGATGAGATTAGATGAGATTAGATTAGATTAGATCAGTGGTTCCCAAACTTTTTCAGTCCTCCGCCCCCTTGGTGCAATAAACTCATCCTCGGTGCCCCCCACCCAGGGGTGGGATTCAAATTTCTGTGGGCATGGCCTAATTTGAGGGTGTGGCTTGCTGGCCTGTGACTGGGTGGGCATGGATTGCTGTTCACGTGACTGGCTGGTGTGGCTTGCTGGCTGGGCATAGCTTGCTGGTCACATGACCGGGTTGATGTGATTTGGTGGTCATGTGACTGGGTGGTCATGGCCAGGTGCCCTCTTCCCCTTCTCCAGCCCCTGCAGCTGTGCCTCTGCTCCTTCTCCAGCCCCCTGCAGCTGCCCCTCTGCCCCTTCTGCAGCCCCCTGCAGCTGCCCCCTCTGCCCTTTCTCCAGCCCCCTGCAGCTGCCCCTCGGCCCCTTTTGCAGTCTCCTTCACCTGCCCCTCGGCCCCTTCTCCAGCCCCCTGCAGCTGCCCCTCGGCCCCTTCTCCAGCCCCTCCAGCTGCCCCTCTGCCCCTTCTCCAGCCCCCTGCAGCTGCCCCTCTGCCCCTTCTCCAGCCCCTCCAGCTGCCCCTCTGTCCCTTCTCCAGCCCCCTTTGGCATCCAATTTTGCAATGCCAACCTCCCCAGGGCAGCGATGCAGCCGACCTCAACCTCTTTGCTTCAACCCTAGGTCCACTTCCATCTGGCCAAGCAAGGGGAGGTACTCTTCACATGCTCAGAGACTCCCAACTTCAGTGAAGCATTTCACCCATTTTTATGCTCCGTCCAGGATGAGGAAGGTGTGCGGAAGCAGCCCAGACCAGTGGAGGCAGAGGGAACGATCGCTTGGAAACTAAGCAAGCAAGCAAGTGCAGGGTTCGGTTGGAAGAACCGGGCTGCAGAGGGAGGCTAGGTTCTAGGTCTGGGATGGCCACGTGGAGCCAAACCGAACCGAGCCATGCACCTTGGAGAGCTGCAGCTGTACCCATCCGCATCCTGCATACAAGCCCGGCTGGCTGGAGAGGCGGAGGCCAGGCGGGTGCTGCATGCTCCCTTATTCTTCTCCAGGGAAGGGAGCCCTTACACCAGACCACCCACCCGTTCCACTGTGTGCCTTTGGAGGGCTTTGCTTTTGGGCCTTCTGGCATGCCTCTGCTGCTTCCACTGGAGAGGGCAGCCTGCAAGCTAAGGTGCCATCTTCCCCCCCCCCCCCCCCCCCAGGCTTGGCAAGACTCACCACACGCGGGTTCCACATTCAAGGTGCCGGCTACGGAGCAATGAAACAGTCAATGGGCTGCGTGGCCAGCAGTCAGTGAGCCTGAGGGGCCGGCACCTCGAACATCCCCCTGCCACCTCTTAGCACCCCCCTGCTGCCCCCCTTGCCTCTTACTGCACCCCTAAGGCATCCCACTACCCTCCAGGAGGCAGTACCATCCACTTTAAGAACCTGGATTAGATTAACAGATTAACAGAACTGGATTAGATTAACAGAGTTGGAAAGGACCTTGTAGGTCATCTAGTCCAACCCCGCCCCCCAAGCAGGAGACCCTTCACCCACGATGGTGAACCTATGGCACGCGTGCTCCAGGTGGCATGCAGAGCCATT